TAAAGTTCAGCACATTCAATGACTCAATTATTCATCATCAAACATTCACGAACCTTGACATGTGTACACCCTATGCCCATCCATACATATTAGCATAGCACTCTCAAACAAGAGCTTTGTAAAGGAGAAACAACACAAGAAAATTTTATTTAAAAAAAAACAAATCAAGGAAATTTCATCAGTCATAGAATCATTCTAAAATGATACATGAATGACATTTCCTCAGTAGTGGATAACGGTTACATTGTAGTGCTCTATAGCGTTCAGAGTTGTTGTATCGTTGGAGTAGGTTTGTTTAACACCATAGCCATGAGCCAGGCGGAAGGCTCTGGTACCTCCAATAATCGACAACTCCCTCACCTTAAGCGGAACTAGATTCCTCCCCATCACAATGAGAGTGCTACCTTTGAACTTGCCATCTGTGAATACTAAGTTGTGGGACTCGAACAAACTGAGCTCAGTTTGGGATGTGAAAGCATACAGGCCTTGTGCCTGACCAATAACCTTGGATGTGAGCTTCGGTCCTTCGGTCAAGGGGTCGTCAATAACAACGACTTCGCCAAAGAGAGTGGGCAAGGCATTTGCCGTGTTGGCTTTGGCCACGGTCACTGACGTAGGCTTCTTTGCGACATGGAGGTCATGTAAGTAGGAATCAAAGCAGCTCACTTTTGGTTCACCTAGGCCTAGCTGTGCTTGGCAAATGGGCATGGAGGAGAAGAAGAGCAACAATGAGGCCATGCCGGTGGCTAATGCTTCGTTCCCTCTCATCTTGGATTCAATGAGATGTTTGATGAAGGTAGTTTCTTTTATACATGGCCCGGTCTAAAAACTCGGTAATATCTGTGAAAAACCTTACCTTAAAAAAAAACAAAACAAGTATTTGGGAAAAACCTTATTGCCAGGTTATGTTGGTGGATGGCGTGATGAACTAGAAAAGAAGGGTCTTTTTGCAATTGTTTCACTTGGAATTGCCGTTCAAATATTTGGGGAAAGCTCTCATTTGATTTGGGATATACTAGTTATTATATCTTTCTTTGATTTTGATGTTGTTATTATATTCTTTATTTTATGTGTGTGGTTTTGCTTATAGCCTAGGCTCTAAACAATCAAATTAGAGCCTACTTCAAATAGTGTTGAGAAATGTGATTTCAATATTGGAAATTTATGTGATAGTCTTAAGATATATTTTCATATTTACTTATAAAGTTTAAAGCTTCAAAATATCTTGAAAATTGAAGGTCCAAAACTGCGTTACAAAATATACTATTTTCAAGACTTGAAATCTATTTTTTTGTCATGTCCAGATATCTTGATGTTGAGATGATCAATTAGAAGATATTTGGGCATCAAAGCAACATCTTCCAACGAAATTTTTGAGATAGGCTTTAATTTGATTGTTTAGAGCCTTGGTTCTATAGACTTTTCCCTTACGGGGAATAATGTGGTCGTGTCTTATTAATTGAAGCCTTTAGATGCAAAACACTTGTCTTGACCATCCTGCCCTCCTCCGTTTACTAGCAATATTTTTCTCAAACGTGTAAAACCGAACTAAAAAGAAGAAGAAGTAGAAACATGTAATTAATGAATGGAAAAAGTTTATGTAAGGATGCAACCTTATAATGTACAACTACGGATGCAGCTCAAAAATCCATCAAAAAAGGTAGTTTTAATGTTGAAAAACCCTTTAATTGATCATCTCGGCATCGACATGTATGACCATGAAAAATACAAAGATTCTAAGTTTCAGAAATGGTGCATTTTACAACATATTATTTGCACCGTCAATTTTTAAGATTTTCATATGTCTATAGATCTACTTGATTTTAATCATTTTTAAAATTTAAAATTTTATAATTAGATATAAAAATAAAATTTTAAAATAATCTTAAAAACATTTTATATCAAAATTATATATTATGATAAAATTTGAAGGTGCACCTTACCTCTACAGCTACGGATGCATCCGTATGCAAACAGCACCATTAATGGATATGTATGGGTGGGATGTAAGATTAAAGATACTCTGTAGAGAGAAAATCCTATCATTGGGCAAGTGGCATCTAGTGGCGAGCAATATTTTTGGCACAGCTCTTATTGTCGAGTCGTGATTTTGATGGTTTAAAGTACACAACATGCTATAATTTTTTTGATGTTTTTTACATGTCATTTTAGATGAAACTGGGGCATATGTAGTTTTCAGTGGGTACGCTGTTACAAAAACCCCTCTTATAAAATAAAATAACCAAAGTGCCCCCAACAATTTTAACGGGTACGTGGTTATTTTAGTTTATTAGAG